GAGTTATACCACTGTGGAATAAACTACCTGAAGCAGTGGTTAACTGTATCAATGTCGAATGCTGGGCAGTGGTATTCCCTGAAGTTGAGTGTTGAAAGTTAATCGTTAGGCTTTATTTTCCGAAATACTGTAAGGGATCTGATACTGCACACTAACATTCTGCCTTTCAGAAACTACTATTGACTCGAAGTGTTGGAAGCCAACGAAACCGCCGACAACACAAAGAACTGGACGCGCGATNCGATTGGCAAGAGCCACAATTCGTCCTGGGAGAACTGAACTGAACTGACCGGTCTTGTTTTATTTTATTTTCTTTGGAAATTTCTTTTCGGAGAAATTTTAATTTCTCTAGGTCACACTTCTAGTAAATTTGCCGCGCGTATAATTATGCAGATCCGCTCTCGTTCATATAATTTTAAATTATATTTATCTATAGTTTTGTAGTTTAAAGGTCATTTACGAGTGACATGGGCTAAACCGCGTAAACACCGATAATCGAAAACTTCTGGTCGAGGGATACCTTACCATGGTAGCTCAGAGAAATCCTCCTAAAGGGGCTACAGGAGCGAAGCAGGTTATTGCACCCTACCCATGTGCCAGATGAAGGTGTTCTCTCGAGGTGGTTGAGGGTATTTGTTGTGATCTGTGCCAGGATTGGTTTCACTACGGTGCAGTAAACTAACTTCCAAGGCAGTTGAATACTGCTGTCCACAAGTTTCTGAAATGGGTTTGTCCAAACCGCACCAGCTCTATCGAAATATCCAGAGCGAAAACACTGCCTCCGAAAGGAAACCCTCCCTCAAACTTGGCAGTACAAGCTCCTTCGTGTAACTCGACCCCAAGTAGGGAGATAATCAAAAGTAAACCTGAGCTAGGGACTCTGATGCCTGGGGAGGGAAACCAGCTTGGAGTAGTTAACGACCGGGAATGGATTTTAGTGGGCAAGCCTGAGCGTGATGAACAACAAACCACGTCAGCGGCACCCCTAAGCCGAGGGGTAAAGTCCGGCCCTAGGGCACGCGTTGCCAAATCGGCAACCGCAGAGATTAGCGAGCAGACAGCCGGAAACAGGCAGGAAACCAACAAGGTAACCCAGTGTCACTTACCACCAGGGAAAGGGGCACTTGATGCGCGCATGGACGCTAACGAGGAGGCCATTGCTAAGCTCGCCGAACTCACCACCAGCCTGAGAGATTCCCTACATAGGCTTGAGGCCCATAGCAACAAAGCCCTAAGGAGAAACGGAAATGTCGTTATCGGGGTTATCCCAGAGCCGTTTTGTAGAGAAACGCGCAGCCGCAGGTAAACGCTCCTACACCGAGTTAGAAACATAATCCGACTCGCTCAGATTCCCTCAGAGGTCCAGGTCAAACGAGTATTGCGCCTTGGGAAGTAACAGGGCGATCAACGGACACCTAGCGCCTTACCGCCTAGGTCAACGCTTGGAGAGTTTCATAAGCCGAGGCATCGGGACTTGATGCTGGCAGCTTCCGCCATTGTGAGGAAGTTGACCGAAGAGCAGGTAAATATGGGGCCGGACTACCCCCGCGACCACAACACAACAGCCTCACCTAGCTGCAGGCAGCAATTTAGCACCAAGCTTCTGTCCGCCAACGTAGCAAGAGTGGGGCACGAAAATCCGCGCAGGAAAACGATCCCCGCTCCCAGGGCTGGCCCGAGGGATGAATCTCTAGGACACGAAGACCACAATAGGGCGGTGGAACCGCAGGGAAACTCCACCACAAGACCAGAGGTAAAAAAACTTGGAGGTTACCCGGGTGCAACCCCTCAAAAGCAATAGGAGGTAAAAGGGTGCAGGCT